TTAAATAAATAAATGAAAAAAAAAAAAATAAATTTAATAATGATAACAATTATACGATTACCTTACCTATATTTTGATAATTTAAACAACAAAAAAGCTTTAATAAGAGAACTTAAAAATGTATGTAATCCATGGACACAACAATTAAATAAAAGCTTGACTCACCTTGATAAGCAATGCACAAAACTATGTACTTAATTACTTCGAATATTCTTTACAAACTAACACTAAATGTATTGCTTTAGCCCCTCAAATGCGAAGGTATAATTTAAAAGTTACGTAGCGTCTTCCGAAAAATGGAAAGCACATTTTGCATGTCCGCCGTAGTGGACCGCGCGCTACGCTCTGCAACACCGCCCGCCCTACAACTTGCTACAACTTTCGCGCTACGACATCTTACTGCGTCACGTGATTTCGAAGCCTTCAATACAAATTTTAATTTTACTTCAAGTCTAATTTGAGTTTTTACTTTATAATGTTTAACTTTGTCACTCAATCGCTGAGTATTTTGTAAATAAATAAAGAATTATGATTCACCAATTCCGGTAAAAATCGTTGAGTAATCTAAGATCAAAGATAATCTCATAAAGTGTGGTGGATTAATTTCCACATATTAATATTGTTGAGTAATCTAAGCCTTATTTCGATTCGAATAATGTTCTACTTTACACATAATAGAAAGTTTTAATCTCTCTCGTTACAAGTATAAAAAGTTTTAATAGTTTTGTTAATAACATTATCTCTCATCTATTTATATTCTTTGAAACGTATTAAGAAACATATAGATGTAATATAATACCGCCATACATTCTCTTAATTACTTTAATATGTTACTTTGTTAAGACACAATTAATAATGTAAGAAATAGTATGTAATCCACAATATGGACCAATACTTATCGAATATGTTATAGTTACTGTACTTGTCGCATAGTTGACGCGAGTAGTACATATTTAAGTACAGCACTCTTAACAGTTTAAATCCCGAAATATTTTTTTTAATGATAGGAGGACAGACATTTATTTGGCTCTGAAAGCGAAACCGCGATTAAGATTCGCGGCTTTTCTTTTCATCTGTTGACGGGGGTTCGTGACCCGAACGGAATAAATTTGCAAAGCATCCGAATCGTCGAGTTTTAGTTAATAGTAAAAGTATTTCGCCGATTTTAACCGTCAAAAAGTTTCGTTTTAGTTTTTTAATTAGGCGTTATTTAAAGAAAACCTTTTTCATGAACATGAATAGAAAATAAAGCTCTCACCAATTAACACTAAACAGAATTTATTACAATATTTTAATTTACTTAATTGATTAATAATATCGCTTGAATGGGACTTTATTAAATTATATTTTGTTTGATTCAATTGTCTGTAGCAATTAAGTAAGCTTGTCCAATATACGTCTTTACTTTGACTTCATAGAACGAAAGATTTTAATTGTTTTGCTTGATTTTATGCTTGCTTAACTTTCTTTATATCTTATTTATATGGCAAACATATTTATGTGTCTGTTTAATTTATATTACAGTCGAGTAGGTAAAGGATTCGCCTTTAACCGACCGTATTAAATTATTCCACAACAAATTCGATCCCAGTACCCTCTCCTTTCAAACACTCAGCCAATTGGGCCAATTGTTGGGTAAAGATATTTAGTATATTTATTGAAGTAGATTTTTAATTATCTAGCCATAAAAAAAATATATAAAAACTTTTCTTTTATTATTTTAAATTTTGATTTCGTTTAATTTCTAATATATTTCTATTACTTATTTTTTATTTAGTTCACTTAGCGAAGGTGAAATACTATAGGAATCATAGGAAGTTGCCTGACACCGAATTGCGATTAAACTTCACGTAGCTTATTTATCTGTTAAAGCTGGTTCACAATCCGGATTGAATCTATTTATATTCCTTCCACCAATTTATTATCTAGATTTTCAGACATCCAACATATTTCAGAAAACTACAACTTTATTAGAAACGTGTTGAATCCAAGACCGGTTGATTGATCCCCGATCGTCGGTATAATGGTAACGATGTGCTATATTTACTGTCACTGTCACCATTAGGCCAAGGAGCTTAAGAATGTCATAATATTATGAAACCTTTGATATGAAAATATATAAACATCGCGAGTTATTTTCGCATCCGATCTATGTATATTGGAGGACGAACGCTTTCGTGTCTGCGAATAAATTCATACAGGAATCATTTTAATTTCCATTAAGATGTTTTTATTTTGAATACATTTCTCTTAAGTATTGGCGATGTTTATTTGCATTTTCTTCGTGTTTTCTGTTAGGTAAGGCGGCGCCTTCAATAAATAGTCGATACGTAGTAATACTTAAAGGTCCAGGATCATCCATAATAATATTATAAAGCTGCTGAGTTTTTTTGTTTGTACGTGCTAATCACAAGACCTACTTAATTGGAGTTGAAAAATGATTATCTTCAAAAGGGTCTTCTCGTGTTGGTTGGACCATATATCGGGAAGCCTTCGGGCTAAAAAACATCAGCCTGCGACCAATACAAGCGTAAGGACTGAGGAAAAAATGTGGAAAAAAGGGGGAAATCATTAATTCCCTTGCGCTGCGAAAACGAATGTAAAAATGATAAATTTTGTTTAAATAATCTAAAAATATCCATAACAGTATATGTCTATCTCCTAAGATTAGCACACAAGAACCGCTTTTATGGTAATGTGGAAAAGGGAAATACTTCATGCGGCAAAAAGACGTTTGCCAGGTCAGCTCGGAGACGACAGCATGTAAACTATTATGAGTGTTAAAGACATTAAAAACCTATAGGTACTATATAAAAACAAAAAGGAAAAACTCCTGGTTAAATACTGTCTATAGTATATATTTAGTATAAATTTTCGACTCGGGCAGGACTCGGTTGCTCAATTAGTAGAGCAACAGCACGGAACGCTGACGATGCCGGTTTAAGTCCTGCCCGAGTAGAAAATGTTTTCAATTTTCGAATTGCAAACTATATATGTGCCTCCATGTGCAATAACATCGTAAAATAATAAAATTTCTCATATTTAAGTAGGGGGTGTATGAACCAAATTTCACCTTTGTGGGTTTCCACAAAGATGAAAATTTGCAAAGGTACAGCGCGATGTTTTATCCTATGCCTATCCTTGATAAATGTCTGGTCTCTAATCAAAACACGCTACTACTTACGCTTGTTTAGGTTCGGTTTTACATGTATGTCCGAATATCTACGAAAATACAGGTCAACCAATTTGATCTTCTGGGGTTAAGAAACTTCATCACGAAAACGCCATGCATTTAAATGAAACACTTTAACGGTTTAAAACGCGATATATTAGTTAAACTTATTTGAAAATGATTTTTAACGTCGGCCCGACGTTTCCCCGTGACCACGCCTGCAACGCATCTGAAACGTCGGAGCGAAGTTAAAAATCATTTTATGTCTATCTTTGACGATTAGCTTGCTAGGAAACAGCTTAAATTTATGAAGAAGACATAAGTAATTCGGATGCCCAAAATAAGTGCCTCTTCTACGCTGACGAAGTCGCTGACGCCGCTAGTAACCTTATAGGAATCATGAACTCATTAACAGTTCCCACCGCTGGGACTGTGGCTATAAGGGGCCATTATTAACGACGGATTAATACGTGTTAGTTACTTTATGCTACGCGGACGAGTTATAATATAACTGGACCATGGACTAAGCCACAACTAATGCTACACGATATATGTTCCCCACGCCTTCAAATACAGACAAAGTTATTATTCCGCCCCGATGAATATCAAAATCTTTTCAGGCTGCCCACTTTGTGGGTTCACTCGATCGGATATTAGCTGCAAAAAACTTTGCGTTGTCCCTTTTGATCGTGGGTTGAAATCTTGAAAGGTGTCCTAATTAGGGAAAAAACCCCATCCCAGACTGGCCAGACAATGGTTCTTTTGTAGTTCCGAAGTGAGAAAATGGGGGCGTGGGACGAATTTATGTCCAAGACTCATTAGCCTTAATGATTCTAGATACTCTGGTTGTCCAATGTCCTTAAATTTATTGTGAATTTAAAGTTGCATATATTTACTATAACGATAAAATAAACTATCTAAGTTGCTTGTATGTTGTGTGAAAAATTAGCAATACATTAGAATCTTATCGGTATAACAATATTTAAATAAAACATTTTAAAGGTTAAAAAAGCGATACATATAAAGCGCGTTTTAAACCGTTAAAGTGTTATATTTAAATGCGTACTACTCGCGTAAATTAATGACAGTAATATATCCAATAAGTACCATAATTTTTTAGCTAAAAAAGGATATTATATGATTTTACATCAATATTTGATGACATCTTTAGTATTAATCTTAATTAAAAAGTAAAATGTTTAGCGTTATAAAGTCTATTGAGTGGGAGGAAATAATAAATATTTATAATTTAAATTTGTTTTATTATTTACAAAATTATTTTGATCGTTTAAAAAATAATGGCAGCTCATGTTTTATTCATATAAATTCGAAAGGGTCGTCGGCTACTCGCCTAAATTATACTGAGTTTTGGTACAATATTATTTTTGAAAACCAAAATTATTCTGGCTTATTACCAGGTACATTGGTAATATTAGCTCCTTAAGGATCGACACGTTCATTCTTCACACATTAAAATTGTTTTATCATTAAATAATTTAATGACACGCCCGGGATTCAAATCCAAAACCATAGTAGTCTGTACTGTTTAACACACGGCTAAAACTACTTTTTTTAACAGCGCAAGAAAGACAGACATGGCGTAGCACTTTATTACGATGTGTTGTCAACCTATTTTGGCTTAGTCGTGTACCAATACCCCCGTGTACATATTTTAATTAATTTACTTACTACCTAGCATTCCTAAGTTACTGAGAAAGTTAATCTAAGGTTTACATTTTACTTTGTATCATGTAACTGAAAATAAAATGTAAGGTACTAGCTGAGTACTATAAATATACAATGTTTCACTTAACAAGCAACAAACACTTTATAAATGTTTACGGACGTCATGCACCATCAAGTTCTTGAGATAATTGTCGTCGTTAGCGAAACACTCGACAATGTCGAAATGGTCCATGTCGTCCTTTATTTCTAAATACATGTTTTGCATCAGGCAGGTGTTGTGGAGGAGTTCGAAGAACTCACGGGACTGTTTCTTGAACGTCGGACTGTCGTTTTGGCCGGCCAAAATGAAGACTCTGATCTTTCTGGCTTGTAAGTGGGTGAAGCAGTCGAATTGTGGGGATAGCGGCGCGGCCCACTCGGCGGGCAATTGGATCGCGTCGTTGACTGATGTGTGGACTAGTTCTCGTAAGTCGTAGACGCCTGAGATGAGGAAGGCTGCTTGCAGACGCTGGGTTCCTGGTGTGTTTTCTAGGAAGTCTGCGTTTGATAGGAGCTTCGCGACAAGGTGAGCGCCGGCTGAGTGCCCGGCGAAGTAGACGCCTCTGTAAAATTTATTTCAAAATGAAACACTTCACAAAGAATAAATGAAAGATGACCTGTACGACTTAACTTGGCTTTGAATATTCGAACATCCACAGACTGAAAGCAAAAGACGAAGTTTCAAACTTTTCATTGGACGTCGTTCCTAACCTGGAACGAATTTCAATATCCCCACCACGCATTTAATATCCAGATTTCAAAACGACGTCCGAAATGTTTCAGTATAATTATAAATTGATTAAAAAATGTTGGAGCTGGTGGGGATCGAACCTACAGCCCATTGATTTTTAGCCCTAGACTAGACTAGACTATTAATTAATATTTACTGTTAACTAATAAAACGTTCTTTTTTATTGATTCTATTTTAGAAATTATATCCTCTCTCACGCGTGAAATATTCTTATATTGCGCTATTTACATGTTTTGTGAATTTGAATTTTGAACTTACTAAGTGAAAAAATTCCTTTGACGGGAGCAAAATTCTGTTTTCGAGGCATTGTATATAAAAAAATAGTAATAGAAATGCATTTTAATAAAAAATGTGTATGTAGGATATCCCAAAAATGAGGACACAGTGCTTCAACACGTAGACTAAGTTCGTAAACATGTTCATAACCACAAAAACATATACAAAAGGGTCTAAAAAGGGTATTCAACTATGAAAATATCCGTATGTACCTTGAGCCCATCTTCTCAGCGTACTCGAATACGAATTTTGCTGCCTTTTGTATTTGGTGGATGATTTCTGGTAGAGTTGCAGCCGGACAGAGATCGTATCCCACGACGATAGACTTGATTCTTGAGCGGTATAGAGGCAGGGCGGGATATCTTGACACCTCGCGAGACAACTCCTGCCAGTAGCCACCGTGTACGAATACCATGATTGGAGAATCTGTAATTTGAAATAAATATTTTCTAGACGTTCTCCCCTTTATAAAATTGATATTGTATTATGGTAGGTTATATGATTTATTGTTGTGCTCTCAATTGAATGTAAAATAATAAAGTTCCTAGTTAAAACAATTGTAATAAAAAAAAGTTTTTTTTTTCATACAAGTTACTAAAGTTCTGTTGGTTTTGGAATTCTTTTTAATATGAATAACAATTTAAATAAAATGTTTATAATTAAAGTAAAATGCAAAATATATTAATTAACTTATTTTTTATTAAATTTCACTACGGCCTGACGTTTCGGACGGAAGATGGAGGGTGTCCCTAATGTTAAAGTCGAAACTACTAGCTACACTAACGCCATCTGTTTCGTTGTAGTTGGTATTTTGAGAAACTGGCTAGGTCCTTACGGTGTATCTTTCTATGTTGAGGCCGATCTCCCTCTTAATCTTGTGTATTTCCTGATTTCAATTGCTTAATGAATAAGTATGACAATTAATGGAGCATCGGCATGGTGATGGCTCGTGAGGTCAAAACCCACCTGTGTCACATATTTTTTAATTCACACAGAATTTAAATAATAATTAAGTAAGAATAACATCTATATTGCCTTTGCCACGTTACTTAAATTAATAACTTTATTAGCACATAAGTGTTGAAGCAGCATTGAAGGCATCCCTGTCAGGGCTTCATATATTTTTGTTTAATAAATAAATAAATTATCATATATCTACTACCGAACTATAAAATTTATTTATTTCTAATTTAATGTTGCAATGACGTAAAATTTAACAATGTTTATATCACTTTTGAATGACTGAAACATGGAAAAGTGATAACTTTTTTTTTATATTTCTTTTTATTGTTATTCAAACAATTGCTTTATTTGTTATCTATCAAATGGTTTTTTTTTCTCTACCATTAAATATGTGTTTAAAAATGCTACTATGTTTTAAGTAAATGTTTAAAGGGTTTCCTAAATATTTTAAAATACGGTTCATTGTTATTTCGACCGCTTTACTGGATCGATGACACTGGCGCGAGAGGTCGAAATACTTGCAAAATAATAAATCGGTCGGTCGTAACAAGTTCTTTTTTAAACTGTTTTATTTAGCTCAGCCCGTTTGTTTTATTTATTATTTATTCTTGGGTCAAATTTAGTAATTTAAATTTCACCATTTTCAGTTTGTATGGAACTTCGTGGTTTTTGAAGCTGGAACAATTAAACTTTCTTCTTTGGCTTTTTGGGAATAGGAGAGGGAGTGGGAATGAGATTTAGAGTAGGAGTAATGTGAGGTGAGAGTGATGCGGCAAAGTAGCACTTACAAAATAGATTGGCTGCGATAAATGCGCAATTATATAAATTAATAAACAGCCTACATAAATAAAAATTCTACCCCAAGTCACTATTCCAGGCGAACGAAGTCGCGGGCACAGCTAGAAAGAAGAAATAATTTTTTTTCCCAATTCTCTCACTCGTCAGCTCTCGAGCTACCAATAAAATGTAACAATGATATACTTGATTTTTTTTTCTGCAAAGTACTATGTGTTTTATTTTTACAAAAATTGTTTATTTTATCTATTTTCTCTTGTGTGTGGCACCGCTGCCCACACTCTTGGGACTTACTGAAAATCTGTTTAAGGTCAACAAAGGGCCTGATATAAGCTGAGTAAGATCCTATTCTACCAACTAGCAGAACACAACATTATTTTATTCTATTAATATTGAGTTATACTGTTAAGATTAAATTATGTTTTATTTTTATGTTAAGTAATAAGTATATATGTTTTGTGCGCCTTACAGTAGTAGTAAATAAATTTATTTCTCTCTCATTTCTCATATAGACACAGAAGTGCGTCTGTTTTATACTCCGCGTAGAGTTTGACACACTTTAATTCTTAGTTATCTGCTCAGTAAATTATCATACGGGTTATAATAATAACATCATTAGTTATAACTTTATCTTAATTATCTAAATGATATATAATTGCCTTGGTTACGTTGATTTCGAGTCCATTAGCGAATTAATGAGGCCTTAAATTGTACCGAAGTATTCAGTTTAAACGCACGAACTTGAATGTTAACAATTCATCGTTGAAACGGTAAACACTTATACGGGCATTGTACTGACGTAAGATTTTTTTGTTATACATAGGGAAAAAAACAATCGTTAGATGTTATCTGCGTCTGGTATAGAATCGGTAGTTTGACAGTTTACAACTGTTAAACTACCGACTTTTTTATGACAGTGGAGTGGAGTGGAGTTCAGTTTACCGTAGGTGGCAGCCATAACATCTAAACTAGATGCACTGTCGACGAATTCTGACTTTGGATATTCGGAAATTCACAGACTGAACCGAAACGCGATTAAACTTGACGCCTTGTTCATCTGTGGGCGGTGGTTTGTGACCCGGACATCAAAATAAATAAAAAATAAGTTAACAAATATAATATGCGTTTAAAACCGTTCAATTGTATTATTAAAATTTTACTCGCGTAAGCTATACTTCAATGATACACATAAAAAATATCGTATAACAACTTTCTTTGTTTATTTATAATAGCTACTAGCTAACCTGGCAAACATTATTTTACGATATGAAATATTTCGACTAATTTTGATTAGAATAAAAAAAATGGTTCTTGTGCGTTAATCTTAAAAGATTGACATACACCTATACTGTGTCAGACATTTTTTTTATATCTTTAAGACATCTTGGACCGCTTTCGCGGCATCGGAAGCGCACAAAGATGAATCATTTTCCCCGGTTTTTCCACATTTCCCACCGTTTCTTCGCACCCATGTTAAAATATTTGTGGGAGTATACTATTTACTTGTGTCATTTGTTTTAACTGCAGTAGAGTGACATGATCCATGATATCAGTTATTTGAACAGGTTATATTAAAATCTAATTAGTGGAACTGATATGCATTGAACCTGTTAGAGTAGTTATTTAAAATGCCAATATACATTTTATAAAGTTGATCCTCTCACTATTGTAAAGGTAGCAGATAATTATGTTTACAATTGTAAATATGATTATCTGCCTTTTGAAAATTATTACAAAACTACGATTACATTTGAAACGAAATGTGATATTTTTTGTAGAATTTTTAAATTCTACTTTGACACAGAAACATGCCATGCTTATAAAACCACCGTTCAACAACGGGTCGGGGGTTCGAGACATGTTAGACTTCGTGTGTAGATATTAAATAGGATAGGAATATTGAAAATTCAATCCACAGACAAACAAGCTGCGAAGCTTGGTAATTCAGTTTTAGTCTGGATTTCTGAATATCCATAGTCAAAATAAAAGCCCATGCGTTTATGTCCTCTTCTACCAGAAAAAAATCTTTTTTCAATAATCATCGATATATTATAAATAGTATTGACTTAAGTCCGTATTCAACTTATCTCCGTTTTGATCGAGGTCCAAAAGGTTGTTCCGAATTAAAAATCTAATGTAAGGTTAATGAAGCGTAATGAACCCCGAATCTTACCGTCTGGAAGGTCCGTTCCCAAAATATCCAACTTTTGCCCGAGAGTCGAGCCGTATTCGATTTCCAATTTATGTGGGATACTGTTGACAGCTGCCTCGCTTGCTGGAAATACAAATTTTATATTAACGAGATTAAATACTGTCTATAGTTTACGCGAGTAGTACACATTCAAATAAAACACTTTAACGGTTTAAAACGCGACATACATTAGTTTCAGCCGTCACCGTTAGCAACATACGTGAGTAGTTAAAATAATTTTCAAATAAGTCAAACTTATATATATCGCGTTTTAAACCGTTAAAGTGTTTTATTTAAATTCATTTTTTTATAAAATCTTCATCAATTTTGATCAACTATCATTTAACAGAAGTCGTAGTTACTTGTAATATTAGGTAAACTTATTTGAAAATGATTTTTAACTTCGGCCCGACGTTTCGGATGCTTTGCAGCAGCCGTGGTCACGGGGAGACTAAAGATGGAGGATGTCTCTGACGTCAAAGTAAAAAAGTCAAATCATTTTAATTAATATATCCCGTTTTAAACCGTTAAAGTGTTTTATTAAACGAGATTATTTATCTGTTAATATACATATTAACGAAAGCCTGTTTTTTTTATTTAAACCGATTTCAAACGAGCATCATGTTTAATAATAAATAGTCCAGCTTAAATCTTTACTTATTGCTTTAAATCGATAAAGATTTAAACTGTGCCTTCAAGCTAGAGTTTAGCAAAGTACCTTTTAATAGTATTACCTAACCATTAATTAATTGTTTCAATTTGAAGATTTGTTTTTCGTTTTCCCTTATTTAAGTATTAGGCTTTGTCTATTTCATTGATAAATAGAATTATCCTATAAGCAAGTAGGTAAATTATATCTAGTGTACTAGTGTACATTTTATATTATTTACATAGACTCTGAATCCGCGACCTGCTTGCTTGTTTAAGGCAATGCTAAAGACGCATTTTTAATGGATCACGGAAATGAAATCTTTACTTTTTTTAGTACAAAAACAATATATAAATGGTAGGTATATAATTGATTATAAAAATAATAATTGACGTGACAAATCGTGATTTTAAGGTATGTAATAAAAATAATAAGTATGAATTTGTGGTAGATAAACAATTTAAAATGTTTTATTAAATTACTAATTTTATGAACTATATCTAACGTCAATTACTTCTTTATCAGCTTTCACTGTTGGTACGAATTGTGAAAATTCAGGTTCGAAGACGGGACGATTTAAATTTTTATTAGGTATATACCGAAAATCGAACTTCCGACCTCTTTAACAAACCGACACATCTGTCCTCACACGTAATAATAACGAGTAGAATAATCTAGTGCAAATACATTCTTAGTAAGTAAACAATCTTGTAACCTAATCTGAAACCTGTATTACCACAAGGTAAATAACTGCAAAATTCTTTAACCCAAGTAAAACGATATAGTTACTTGTAAATTAATATTAGCATAACAAAATAATCAATCAGTCAATGTCAATAATAATCTTTATTTTTAAATAGACTATAGGTAAATAAGAAATGCTTGGATGATACACGTAATTACGGATCATGAGGCTAGGGATCGATGGTAAGTACTGTCTGTAGTTTACGCGAGTAGTACACATTTCAATAAAACACTTTAACGGTTTAAAACGCGATATATTAGTTAAACTTATTTGAAAATTATTTTTAACTTCGGACTGACGTTTCGGATGCTTTGCAGCAGCCGTAGTCACGGGGAGACCGGGACCGGGAAGCATCCGAAACGTCGGGCCGAAGTTAAGAATCATTTTCAAATAAGTTAAACTAATATATCGCGTTTTAAACCGTTAAAGTGTTTGATTTAAATAAAACTCTTTAGTTAAACTTATCTCCCCGTGACCACGTCTGCTGCAAAACAACCGAAACGTAGGGCCGTAGTTACAAATAATTCTCAAACAAGTTTAACCGTTTAAGTTTAAAGTTTTAAACTGTTCAAGTGTTTTATTTAAAAAATACTTAGGCAATTAATTAAATTGAATTACCAAATATTTTTATTTTTTATCATAGAGTATGTCAAACAAGCATGCGTTTAACGTAAAGGTAGGTGGAACACTCTAGCCATATAACATCTCAACAAGATTTGCTTTTAAAAAAAATTGATATCCACAAAGTAAATTCGATTAATCCCACCACGAAATTGAGCTACAAAATAAAGAACGGAATAAAAATAACTGATACAATATGAACGATATACTTCGTATATTACATAAAAATATGTTGATTTGTGTCGCGTATACAAATACAACTTGAATAAATATTTAATCAATATTATTATCATACTTTTGGATCTCTGTATTATCTTACTTTCTGCTTTGAAAGGATGCGTTGAGTTGAAGTTAAACGCCCTAAATGGTTACATCCTTTTTACAAGAGATTCTTGAATGTTCATAGAACGCAATTCTTAATTTAAACTAGAGATGGGCCGAGTACTCGGTACCTTGCGAACTCGGCGGGCTTCTAATACTCGTACTTGGCCGGTTATTTGATAACGAGTATACGTTGTTTAAGAAAAGCTCTATATTAAGGTAGATATCATTTAAACAACAGTGTTAATCCAAAAGTATTTATTAGTCATTTAAGATATGTTTGTCTCAATTAATAAAATCAAAACTATGCTAATGAATGAGTAGTCAAATGAGACAAAATTACGAGAATTGACCGGCGCGAACTTATTCGTACTTATTTACGCGCGAAATGGGAATTTGATTGAACCGAATTACTCAGCCGAGTACTCGGTTGAAAAAATAATGAGACGAGTAAAACTCGGTACTCGTTACTCAGCAAAAGTGTCACTTGGCACATCTCTAATTTAATCGTATCTGCTGTATTTTAAAATGTGTATATAATGTGTAGTAGGTACACGAGTATATAATGTATAGTACTGAAACCGAAACGCGATTAAACTTCACTGCTTTTTCATATGGGGTGGTGCGTGACCCGGACAATAAATATCCAGATTTCCAGACGAAAGCCAACATGTTTCAGAAAAAATATAAATTGATTAAAAGAATGGTGGACCCGGTGGGGATCGGACCCACGACCCGTTGATTATTAGCCGTACATTGCATTACATGCAGTATTTCCGTATTATTACATTGTTATTCTATAATCATGCCCTTGCCTAAGCAATAATTATTACTAGGTTAAGCCATGCTGCTAAATTCTCTAATGAAAGTGAAAGCCGCAAAAATGCAGACAGACAAGAGATAACGCGTACTCTAATATATTTAATACACACTTTTTTGCACACTCCAGATTAACCGATTTTTTAAATACACAATGTATGAGATAGTGCCAACTTACTGCACTCTGTTGTGACTATCAATAACCATATTAGATGTTAAGGATAGACACGACAACGAAACGCATTTTTTATCATTCTACCTTCTGAATGTCTATATATTTCAGACATTGATTTGAATCTGTACCTTTATTAGACAATGATATAAGTAAGGTATTACAAACCTACGAATCGTTTGTTGATAGTGATACTTTGCTATTGGAAAAACGGATACATCAATTAGACATTTGACTACTTCTGTACGTACTTGTGTTGGGTATTTATGCCTATCGTAAAATATGTATTTAAAAATATATAATATGTGAATGTAATGAAAAAATAATTAATATGGGACTAAAGTGGATAATATTACCTGCACTGACAAACGAAACGTGATGCTGCAACACTTCCTGCGCGGTGTCGAACCTTGTTGACCATCTGCTCGGAGAATACTCCTTCTCGAGGTCCATTTCTTCGTATATAAGAGCCATTTCTCTTTTCTTTTCTTCTACCTAGAAGTAAATTGAAAGCGGTGATTAAGTTAAAATTTTTAAGAGGATCGAAGATCTTTGTTAGATAAATTCAAAGCTAGGCACACTATATTATTTTAGTTTTTTATGCGCCAGAAAATAACAACCTGATTAATATGATAATCTTTGTGATATATAAAAAATATATAAATTAAATTAATATTATGCCTCATTTGAATTTATTTTACTTCTTTTGAAACACTAATCATTGTAAAACATTCGCTACAATCTCCTATTATTCCAAGCTGGGGACAGGACCCCACACGCTTCCAAAATAATGGTGATACCTGGGACTGAAAGCTAAACGTGCTTTTAAGGATACATCGCTAATGACACATCTAATTTAGGTTTTAAATACCGAAACAAACCAGGATTCGAACCCGTGACCTCGAGGTCGATAGTTACACCAATGAGTTTATATAAAATATTACACAAGTTAATTCACGTAGTAGTTTGAAGTTCAGATCAGACCTTTTCCTTCTTCCGTTTCAGACTTGACTTTCCTCTGTTGTAAATCCGTTTGAACAACATTTTTAACGACAACATGGTTTTATTTCTTTCACTCATTTTGCACTTAATAACAAATCCGACGTGCGGACACAGTCACTTTTCACATATAACTATATAGCGTGGCTATATACTGGTAATTTTGTTAAATTATCCAAATAATTCGCCAAACAAAACTCGTAGATTAGATTAAACATGCTTATCATATCTCTTCTGTTGCTTTGTTAGATGTAGTAGTCTTTAAGCAGTATAAATTAGGGTAGATACAAAATTCGGTTTATCTCAATTTTGGTAACTCAAACCGAATTGCAACATTCGGCTTATACTTGTTTTGAATTGCCAAAATTCGGTTAAAGGTTTATTTAGAAATCGTTTTTTATCAGCTTAGCTGTTAATAAATGCGATTTTAGGTATAAGAATATTTTTATGTAATATTTTTTAAGTATGACTAATAATATAAGATTACTGACTTGATGACATTTGAGAAAACATATTTCACCTTCATCATCAAGAGAAGCCATGTTTGTTTGTCCACATAAAAAACTTCGGTTTCGGTTAAAACTATATAACACATATCTAGAAAGAGTCGTTTCGGCACAGCAAAAAAAATTTTAAATGACAATAAAAAAAAATGTCACGGCGTCATCGAAATCAAATTACAAAGTTGACGAAACTTGCGCCATTGTTACCCAAACGTCATTGAAACAAAATTGATGAGTCGTAATGTTATTGTCTTGAAATGTTCAATTTGCTATATTATAACATACTATAGGCCTAGAAATGGAATCTGATCCTCCTTAGATTGCAAAATTACACGTAGCATTAGTATTAATATATCATTGGTATTCGGCCTGTTCGGCCGAAATAAGCGAAAAGAGGTTCTCGACGGTTCGCCATCACGAGCGGACGTCATCATCAAGACAATTAATTTTTGATGACGTAACGTAACTTCTTCTCGCTCATATTGGCCGAACAGCCCAAAAAAACAATGATAATGAACGATGGCCATGAAAGCCTTACACCCTTTACCTAACATAATAAATAAATTGCGTTTTGAATTTAAAGAAGACAATAATTTCCTCTTATCATTATTTCACTAAAGTGAAGGTTATGTTAATAGAAGTGTCGTCAGGTATTATAATGTAAAAGAAATACTAAACCGTATTTTTTATACGAATAAATAGAAAGTTGTCGTTTGTTATCTTACTCAAATATTAGAACTGTACACTAATGTATTATTTTGAAGTAAGGACATTTAAAACTGCACGTAAATATTGGGCCTTATCTTAATTTGACAACCGTTTGAACTTCTATTAGCTATCTACGAAACGCAAATGAAAAAAAAGCGCATAGTCAATCGGCGAAACAAAAATTAGACAGCGAGTCTGCCCCATGCCCCACCAGGGACGATATTTCACCCTTATGTTGGCTATGCTATAGGTGCTAGGTATTTATTTAAATAAAATACTTTAACGGTTCCCTGAAAACAACCTCAAAATCTCACAAAAACCCTCCCTTTAACGGTCTCCCCGTGACTACGGCTGCTACAAAGAATCCAAAACGTCGGGTCGTAGTTAAAATAATTTTCAAAAAGTTTTAGTAATATATATCGCGTTTTAAACCATAAAAATGTTTTATGTAAATGTATTATATAAACTACTCGCGTAAACTACAGACAGTATTTAGGTATTTCTTTTTTTATATCACACTTTGATATACAAAACATAAAGATACATAATTATAAGGGGTCTCTTCCAAACAACGCTATAAAAATCTATTAAAACAATAAAATAAATATCGTTTTCACTGCTTGGATATTGTCATTTGACAATTATATTGTAACTAGCTGTGTCAGCGACTTCGTCTGCGAGAACCGTTATTTTGGTCTTCCAAATATTTTTTTGTAAACCCCTTCTCTTTTATTAAAACTTTAGCTGCTATCTACGACGTCGGTCGCGTCCCTTCCCGTCGTTCTTGCAAGTTAATCTTAAAAGATATTTAGCGTCGCCTTTTCTAGATCATTTAAAGAGGAATCATTCTTTTATACATATTTTTTGGGTATCTTGAACCGTTTTTGCAGCGTACGCCTCGGAAACCCATAATTATTAATAATTTTGCCTATTTTTTTCACATTTCACACATCACACAGAGCAATGTATTTATAGCCTATAGCCTTCCTCGATAAATGCTCTAACACAAAATGAATTTTTCAATTCGAACCCGTAGTCCCTGAGATAAGTGCGTTCAAACAAACTTTTCAGCTTTATATATTAGTATAGATTGGAAAATAAATAGGGTAACACTTGAATTTCTCAATTAGAGAAACCATCTTATCAGTAACGACTTCTTCTATTACCCACTATTACTCCAGTTAACTAAATAGATAAGTAATGGAAAGGCTTATGACAAAAGGCTATCGTCTAATTTATAGTGGACATATTGAAGACACTGTAGAAACAATCGGTTGATAATTTAAACTGCATTGTTATCAGGTTATTGACTTATTAATTGCAATTCTATAATCAACATTACATTAATAAACTGTTTATTAAATATTAATTTAATGTTTTATTAATGCTCCGTTGTTTGCTTAGATTAATTACTGTTTACATATCAAATTGTCTCGTGATAAGCGAAAACCGTCCGTGTTGTTTATAATATAGGGTAGTCGTTCCAATGATGGGTTTTATTACAGACGAGTTGCTATGCCCTGTGCCCTACCCAACTATAATTATTATGTTTCTCCGGGATCCGAACCGTTTTAAAAGCGGTTTTTACAGGATAAATATGTAAAAATCAAAGATCGTTTCAATGTTAACTACAAGTAACTACGACTTCTGTTAAATGATAGTTGATCAAAATTGATGAAGATTTTATAAAAAAATGAATTTAAATAAAACACTTTAACGGTTTAAAACGCGATATATATAAGTTTAACTTATTTGAAAATTATTTTAACTACTCACGTATGTTGCTAACGGTGACGGCTGAAACTAATGTATGTCGCGTTTTAAACCGTTAAAGTGTTTTATTTGAATGTGTACTACTCGCGTAAACAGATAGTATTTAAAATATGACATACTCATGAATTCGATACATCAGTACCTGTATATATTCGCAAAGAGCTGACTGAAGAGTAGGTAATATTTTAGGTAAAACTTTTTCCTTATACAGTTGATATGAAAAATGTGATTTTGAAGGATAGCAACAAATTCAATTACCTACTGGGCAATAAAATTGTGTTATTATTTTTAGATCTATGAACGTACTGCATAATTACATAATAACTTTATATATTTATTGTACCGTCTTTTAAATACAAACTTGTAATAACATTATTAAAAATACGTGTCTAATTACTAGTTAACTAGCTGTGTCAGCGACTTCGTCCGCGTACAACAGTTATTTTGAGCTTCCAAATTTGTTTTTGCATACCTCCTACTTATCTTTATGAATTAAGCTGTTACTTACGACGTCGGTTGCGTCCCAACGTTTTTGCAAGCTAATCTTAAAAGATAGACATAATATAGTCGCGGATATTTGTTTTAGATTATTTAATAAGGCATAATTCTTTTATAATTTTTTTTTGGGTATTTTGAACCGTTTTCGCAGCGTACGGATTGGAAACCTACAAAGATGATTTTATATTTTTTTTTCACATTTCTCGCTTTATCTTCGCTTGTATTAGTAAATTAATTATAGCCTTCCTCGATAAATGCTCTAACCAACACAAAAATAATTTTTCAATTCGAACCCCTACTTCCTGAGATTAGCGCGTTCAAACAAACAAACTAACCAACTCTTCAGCTTTATATATTAGTATAGATTATAGATTAAGTACTACGACCTCCTGACCCTGGCTGTAGACGAAACAAAGTAAATGAAACATTTTCACCGTTTAAATCATCAAACGTTTTTCTTCCACATGTACCCTACGCATAAGCCACAGACACATCTTAAATACTAAAATGCCAAATGGAATGCCTATATTCTCATTTTGTTCCAATTTTAAACTACTTTTTGTGCATTGCCAGTCTATTTATAGTGCGCATACTTCTAACTAAAGCCATGTATTGCGTATTTAAAGTAGGCTAGGTTAAAAAGCAATTCTATTTTAGTTTTAACATCTGGTTGTATGGAATGGAAAACCGGTTTTGTTGTTGTCTATACCTACACGTGAGAAGTTATCAACTATTCTGTATCGGAGAATGACAATAAATAATGTTGTAACAACCTTTTTATGCAAGAATGTTGTATTCAATCTAGAATCGCTTTAAAAAATGTTTGAACCTGTTGCCTACTTCATTTCGGTGAAGAATATGAAATAAAAACCTCATACAATTTATTTGAATTTAGAACTTTGAAGCTTGCTATTAAATGTAAGTGTTCTAAATTTAAAATTTTAACGTAATAATAAGTATCGAATTAAGTTTATTAATATTTTAGGTATGTTCTCTATATTAAACGGTTAATAACACATTCTTACATTGTATATTTATATGGTTATATATAATTATGTATATGTAGTCGTGATACGTTCGTGATCACTGATACTACCTTCGCGCAACTTGCTTCAGTAACATGTAAATAATATTATATGAGCCTGATAAGAATATGTACATAAAAGTAGTTTTAATTAAAGAGTGACTTACCGACTAAGCAGTTTGCAAGCCGGAGACAACATACCTACTTAGTCGATGTGGTCCTTGTGTGATGAAGACATATGGCAAAAATGTTTTTTTTTGCTTTTAGGAAAAGGAATATAGGGGGGGGGTTTAAATCCACATAAATTAGAGTAAACCTTCTTGATGAGACGTGCTTCATATTAAATTTATTAACAAAAAGTACATAGTTATCACGTAAAGCAGATAACATAGCGCTTCTAGTAAATGAAGAATTGCCTGCTCTCGAAGAATGTTATTGGCATATCAAAAAATATTTACTAATTACTTATCTCGGGGTCATAATAATAATTAAAAACTAACGATTACGACTGATACGAAGTTTTAAAACGAATTGAAGGCGACCTTGCCTGAATAAAGGGTAATAAAAGTACATAT